TTCTATACTTTAATTACTGGAAGTGCAAAGCTCAGTGAAGGATGTGCTAAAAGTAAACGTGGTTCACCGTCCTATTGTGTAAGTTGCAGGCTCTTGGCAGTGTGCAGCTTAACTCCATAACCTGTGCCCTGCTTTTTCGATTTATTTTCACTTGCTTGGAAAGAAAACATCCGTTGTGGAGGCCAAGTGGGTCTGCAGCAGGAGCTCTGTTCACTGGTACCTTACTCCCCACTTTCTTTCACCCCACAGAAGCCCCTGCTCTTTTCTCTGCAGATGTTTGTACACGAGCAGAGGCGGCTGTAGAATTGCTTAATGAGCAGACTCGTTAGACTGCTTTCATTTAACTCTGGATAGTTTGGGTTGTAGGACTGGACTTGAACAAAATGTGCTTTTGTGCTGAGAAATGCCAATGACCTTTTTCTGGACAGCTGTCATGCAGGGGGCTTTTGTTATAGAACGTCTTCAAAAATAGTCCTGCTCTGTAAGTGGCTCCTGGGAGGTGGAAAGGACTGACGAGAGCATCCCTTTCATCTGCGTACAGCACTGTACCCTTACTGACGTTCAGAGTAGTTTTCCATTCTGTTTTCAAATCACTGAAATGCTCTTTTAAACCTGGTAGCATTTACTGCCCTTGTAGAGGTTCTGGCATTGTTATCACAAACTACTCACCTTACAGGTATGAAGCTATATCCCCTTTTCCCTAGTCCCCTGAGCAAACTGGTTCCAGAGCTGGGAAATACTACTGCTTTTTACGTCCCAGTCAGGAGTCACGGTGCTTATGAAGAACGGAGACATCCTGAACAACCACCTGTCTCTTTGGTTAGTGAATATAGCACAAGGCCACGAGGTGCAGTACCCAAGGGGCAGCGATCCCTGTGCTCTGAGTGACTGGGCTGACATTGCCTGGGAACCGTCGGTTTTGGTGCGAAGTAGATGGTCCTGTCCACGCTAGCGTCAGATTTGATAGCCTGCAAGAACATTCTGTGTGGCTGCTGCTGTTTGGACAAAGGATAGCTTCCTCTTTGTAATGAGGTATCACCTCACAAAGGATCAAGTTGGATCTTTAATGTGGGAATGAAAGAAATCAGCATAGGCTTGAGTCTTTGCTGCGAGATGTTGTTCTGTTGGGTGTTGTGCCCTCGGGTTAGCCACCCACTTACTTGTCTACCTGGAAGATATTATTATCTTTTATTTGATAGATAAAATTGTCTTTTTAAAGGCAATTGCCTGAGGCTTTTGCAAATGCTGGGTTATGTGTAATTCCTGCAAATGAAAACATTGGCGGTTCTACCAAATAACAAAAGGAACTGAGGAGGGAGCAGGAAATAAAACTGCACAGAATTGTCTATATAAGCTTTAAAACTGTATCATGAGACATAGGAATATATCACTTCTTATATTTTATTTTTTCTCCTTCCTTTCCAAAATGAGGAGCTAAACCCCTTTTGCCACCTCTGGCCTTCACTGCTGTCCTGTTTGTTCCTGTATATTGTTTTCCCTGGTGTTTTGGACGAACTCTCTAACATTGTGTTGCCATCACATTTCAGAGTATAGGACCACTTTTCTGCTCATTTATGAAAGTTTTAGGTAAAACTGGTGCAAGGCCAACCGTTGAGAAAGTGCAGTCATCATCTCCTGTTCAGCCCAATGATTATCCTTTCAAACACAATTCAGTTTCATCTTCCCTGAACTAATTTTTTACCCACCTGATTGCCCATCCTAATTGCCAAAGTACCATTTGGGAAACTATGTATTATGAAGTGCTGAACAACGACAGAGAGGGAGCGTGCTTTCTGGTGATGTTATGATAAAAAAACCCCTCCAAAACCATGCACTTTGTCCACGAAGCCCGATAACTTTAAAACTGTGGTGATTGTACTTAGCTAGGTGGTAAAACAAGCGTACTGCATGCTGACTGCAGTACCTTTGGCAGTGAAAGGCCGAAACCTTGAATTCTAGGGTTTTTCCTTTAGGATGCACGTAATAATAATTCAGGAATACTGTAGGTATTCAAGCTATTCCCACACTTTTACACAGTACTCATTATTGCACCCTTGCTTTTTCTGCAAGATAGAACACTGGTTAAAATTTGGCTTTTTCTGGTTTCCTTTTGTTTTGACGAGCTGTATTTCTTGTACTCCCTTCTCTTTTCCTATTCAAAGTCCAGGCAAATGGAAAGTTACCCAAAATTCAGATTGACGGTGACACTGGTATTGAAGCTATGCTGGGCGGGTCTAGAAAACTAGAGCAGGAGCTAGCAGCGTGTGAACCTGCTCTTCAGAGAGAGCTGTTTGGATTGTGAAAGCCAAAAGGAACTGCAGAATTCCCGGCATCCTTTGTGCCGAAAGCTATTTCTGCTCATCCTGTGTTTCACCGGGCTGTGTGCTCGGCACCGGAGGCTGTGCAGGGAAAGCAGGGAGTGTTGGGGATGGGCAGCAGCACTGACCTGGGTGTTCTGGGGTTGCACGATCATCTGGAATGAAATGTCCTTTTCTGCAGGAAACCTGTGAGGATGCTTGTAAGAATTTTCTTTTCTTCATCTTGAGACTGTGGAAAGGGGAGACCCCAGGAAAACAATCAACATCTGTTAAGTAATCCAGCTCATCTCGTGTGCTGATGTGACGTGGTGGTGCGGTTGCTAGGCTACTCCAGCTGATCTGGACTTGCTTAGCCAAGCCTCCTCCACTTGAAAGGGGGATGGATGGATGTAAAACACAGGGGCAGAGGTTGCGCTTTACGTGCGTTTGCTTTCTTAAGGCTTCTAAGTGTCATTACTCCCTCCTCTTCTTAGCACAGAAGTGCTTTTCAGGATCCTTGCAAGTAAAATCCTTCTTTTTGTGGAGGCTAGTAGTTGATTTTTTTTTTTTTTTAAATGCATCAGAACATGGCAACTTGTTAAGTCAGAGCTGGATCCGAGTGCTATATATCATTTCTGTTTTGATCAAGAGAAAAACAGTTTGTGGAAGACATGAAAAGGGAGATGACTGCAGGGCTTCTGAGTGCTGGCAAGAGGCTGTATCACAGCAGTTTTTGATGTGGTTCTGTAAGATAGGGGTCCTACATATGAAAAACCAACTACTGCTTGGTCCTTAATATTTCCTCCTTTGAGTACGTATAACAGATAAATTGTGAAGTGTATAAAAATAAATGTAGTTGCATTTCATAAGCATTGACAGCTTTTAAGGATGTTAGCAAGGGGAATTTGCAACTTTCTCCCATTTTTTGGCCACTTTTCCTTCTATATCACAGCTGAAGAGCAGATTAGATAACTGAGAAATTGAATTCGTGTAACTATAACAGATGTGGAATTTTTATTAGTCCTCTTTCTTTTACCTTGTATGCAGATGCATAGGCAGAAGTTGCTCGGGGCACAAAGCCGAAATCTGCTTCTTGATATGCTGATGTAAAAGACTGGGGTGTTTTTACGTGCTGATGCTCTGTCCAAGTTGAATTAGAACTTTCCAAACTCTAGTAAGAGAATTCTGTGGAGCTGATCGGTTACCGAATGGGGCAGGCAGGCAGTGTTTCTTTCGGCATTTCATCCGTTGTTGTCTAATCCTTTCATAGAAGCTTTGAAGAAAAACTTAAGTGAAATTACCCCAAGCAGACTGAATAAATTAACGAAGGCCAAAATGGTCACTGCGAGTCATGTGTTGCACATAAACACTGAGGAGCATTTGCATGGAGGAAATAACTGTTAGAAATTATTTAGACAGTGACTAGTGGGTTAATTACATTTTCTAATCAGATAAATGCTCTTAGAGAATCTACAGATGAAAGAAAGCATTTACTTTTATCTGAATTTCTTAGGGATCAGATTTTTGCCAGTGCGTTCATCCCTTCAGGGTTGTTTCACAGTTCTTGTCTAGACTGGAGGTATTGATTTAAACCTCTGCTTTGACACTGCTGTATGATGTATTTTTACTTCCGTGTTGTCCTGAAGACATTACTCTTTAAGAGCCTGTTAGGCTATGCTCTGTTGTTAGGAAGTCCAGAGATCTTTTCTGAAGATCTTGGGGTATATTTTTGAAGAGTGTCGCTGGGATGTTCTTTACAAGCCTTTATCAGACGTGATTCTCAAGCCTTTCAGGTCTTTCTACTACAAAAGATCACACAGGTTTGCAAAGACTTGCACATGGTTATAAGGAGGTAATAACATCTTTCTGTGCTTAGGGAACGTGTGTTTGGATGGCAGTCATACACAGTTGATCATCTCAAAAAAAAAAAAAAAATCTGCTAACTTTAAAAGTCCACACACTGAATTCCTCTGGAAAATATTTTTTCAGGCTAGGGATAAAACATTAATTAGCAAAGCTGTGTCTGGGCAAATGGAAGCCTTCAGTTTGAAAGAAAATACTGCATTTCCATTAGAGAATGGAGAGTTTTCAAGACATGTTAGTTTATAAAGGGTGCTGAAGTGATGGGGGGTGAGGGGAGCAAAAACCTGCAGCTGACCTATTAAAACAATTTTTATTCTTAAAACCAAAGAGTAATGATTATTTAGATGTAAAGATAAAGAATATCTAAACTTCACTTAAAAAGGACAGTGTGATGCATAGGGCAGTGCAAGTCGTATTGAACAGTTGAGCTCCTCGTACCACAGAGAAACTCAATAAATTTCTTATGCAGTGTCAGGGTTTACAGAGGAAAAAAAAGATTATTTCTACACGCCTGTGGTGACAATCCTATGATTTTTTATCTTTAAGTGTTGTTGCTTAGAAAATGTGAAAGCAAGGAATACTTGATTTTCTTTAAAAACAAACTGATTTCCTTAGGCTTGCAAAGGAACACTTGAAATATGCTGTTGAAACATTTAGACCACTTCAGTTTCCAGTCCCAGAAAAACAAGAAAACTCAGCTTCCTCTTCTTTCTGTCTTCTTTTTCCTTTCCTACTGATTTTATGGATGTGTAGAATGACAGTTTGGGTACTGCATCTCTCCACTGTTCTCTAAAGGAAGTGATTATGGGACACATTTTCCTGTATCCATTGTTATTACAGGTGCTGAGGATGTTGTGATGGCATTTTCCAGATCAGAGACAGAAGACAGAAGACAGTAACTACAGGATACCTGAGCAACACAGAACTGGAGAGGACACTGAGATTCCTGAAGATAGAGGAGGATGACTGAGCATTAATAAGTCCCTTTGCCCACCCTAATTGTTCCTTGGTATTCCTTCTCCTTGTAATTTTGTTTCCCTTTGCCCAACCCTCAGAATGCATCTCACAGCCATCTATTCCTGTAAGTTTTTGCTACTCAGCTGGGCTGTGTTAATTGAGGACAAACCTAAAGGTGTATTTTTGATTGGCTGAAAGGCACAGGCTGTGATTGGCTAAAGGAAGACCATTTCTCGAACTTGACCAATGTAAAACTTTTATCTTGCATTTTACTTTATATTTTAAAGAAAGTCTCTTGACACCCTGCTTCTAAAGAAGCTTGTCATGCTGTGGTGCTTACGAAACGTGTGAATTTGCAGAGGGTTTGATTTGGCTGCGTAGAACTGGAAGCAACTTGTAGTTGGTTGGCGATGCAAATGCTTTCTCTTCAGTTGGCTTGCAGGTATTTTGCTGACTTCGACATTTTTTTTGCTGATGTTTTGGTGCATTGGTTATTTCTTTATTCTTACTGTCGGGGGGGAAAAGACACATGTGCTTTGCAATATTTATTACACCTACACACATATAAATGCTTGCTTTTTGGGGTTTGTTTTGGGTTTTTGATTGGCTTTGACATCATGTTTTTGATTTCCTATTGGCTGCAGTGTTTCTGATGCAATCAGTTTTTCCATACTCATCTGCTCTGTGGCCTCGAGCTCTTTTGGGAGCATGTGTCGAAAGCATATTTAGTTCAAGTCATCTACCTGTTTGAGCTGGAACACGGAGATCACCAGCTGCCCTGGGCTGCTGTGTGGGCTGCGCTATGAACTCCTGGCAGACTTGGCTGTTCAGGTGGCTTCTCTTTGCTTCCGACAGAGGAGCTGTAGATATTTTGCAGGAATTGCAAGAATGAGATCTATGGCTGTGACATGAACTTGCCAAATTTGTATAGAGAATATGTGAACCTGTTTAAAATACTGCATATAGTTCCACTTTAACCCTTTAATTGCTGCACAAGGCTAGCTTTCACCTAAGGAAAAATTAACCATCAGTAACTTAAATCCAGCTTGCACTGGGCTTTAATAAACTAAGTTTCTAGTCACTTGAAAATCTGTATGTGGTTTGGCTCCTTGCAACTGTTCAGTGATACGGGAATTATCTAAATCCTAAGGTAGTACTGTTTTCCTGAGGCACTGTTCCTAGAGGCAGTAGCGCTGCATTAAGCTGTCTCGTAGTGAGTGTACAGGTGACACTCTCATGTTTACTCTCTTAGTAGTTGCAGGGCCTTAAAACACACACATATGCATTTACAGCTGGACAACCTGCACTGAAATTATCAGAGTGCACTGACTGTTCCGGAACCTGCACAGAAAATTTCTAGCACTGCTGCCTAAAACCAAGCACTTCATTTTCTCTCATATGTGCGGGTTATTTTTACAATACTTCTCAATTTTCCTGTGGGTTGCACTGATTTCAAGATGTTTCAAGATCTATTAAAGCAGAACTCCCTTCACCTCTTCCGGGTTCCTTTCATGTGACTGTTAATTTATTTGACGTAACAATTCCAGAATCTGACTATGACAATATAACCATTTTCATGGAAAGAAATTATGATGACAGGATGCTGTTATGGCCTCAAAATGAGGAGGAACCTTGAGAGAAACCATGGAATGTATGCAAAAGGAAGAATGGACTTGTGAGCACAAGGAAGGAAATTATCTTGAGTAAATAAATACTGGATAATGAGAAAACTGTGCATCTATTTATGAAAAAAACCCTTTTGAATCAGTTGCAGCTTTGTAAGGTTCAGTGTGAAAGTAATAAACCTTTTACCCCTGTTTGTTGGGGCCAGATAAGAAATCTATTGAAATAAACTGGGATGAGCCCAAAAGTTTCTTTACATTTTGACCTGGTTGCCTAGGAGGCACTTTAACTCGGGTGCAAAGAGGGGCAGCCCTTAAAGGGTTAATTTAAGGGGGTACGTGTTTCTGGCTGCTGGCTGGAGTGAATGGGCTGGATTGTGGTGGCCTGTTGTTGTCAAGCTGACATGCATCCTCCGTGTGTATCTATGGCATTTCTGAGCTGTTAAATCTTTCCAAGGAGAAAAGTGAAGTGTTTATGTGGTTTAATCTTTTCACTAAAAATGTAACTGTTGGGAGGAGAAAATACAGTTTTTAATAGCTCTTCTTGTTTCTTATTGATTTATTTTACTGTGTTAATCTGCCAAATGGAAAATACTTCTTCACCTTTGTGGAAGACTTCCCTGTAGGCTCCAAACTTGGGAGTCCTGAGTCATATGTTGCAGATGATGCATTGAGAAAAGGCACATGTGTTGTATATAACATGATTTGGGATCCAGAAAGTGGACGAGATGTAGAATTCTCTTGAGAATGGATGTTCTTGCTTTGTTACCTGTGTGCTCTCCCCCTCCTTACTGGTGATTTCTTAACTTTAAGCCAGGACTGGAAGACGTACAATAAAGAATTCATATATAAATCAGGGAGAAAGTAGTGGATAAGAGGGCTTTCCAATATTCACCTTGAATTAATGTTTCTTAAGTATTGATCTTCTTGCTATGAAAACTAAATCCCTATTACCGCTGTGGAGCCTGGATTAATTAGAGGTAGAGAAACCTGCACAGAGTACATCAGCATGCTTTATTGTATGTACAGATTTCTTTAGCTTTACCTTCATGCTTTTGCCTTCTTAAGAAAGCCATTACTAATAAAAATAAGAAATCCAGGTGTCTGAGGTCAGGTGAGTATAGATCTAAACTGAAATGCATTTGTATATAGAAAAGGCTGTACAATTCAACTGCTTACCAAATAGTGCTTAAGGCATTCAGTAAGGGAGAGTAAAAGCTTTAGAGGCATCTTTTAAAGCAGCATGCATCCTTTGGGTGGTCTCTTTGGGAGGCATGTTCCTTCAGGTATTCAAAATGTGCTGTTGTACTTCCCTTACTTACCTTATCATCTACCTCTCCTCACACACAGTGTTTTCCAGAGCTTGAGGAAAAGATTTAGAGCTGAATCAGATTCTCCTCTCATCTCTCTCCAGATGGGTAGCAATTGCTCGAAGTGTGGTAGGTCATTGTGTCTGTGAGTAGTGCCCGTGGTAAAGGAAAATGAGACTCCACCACTCACATAGGCCTTTAGATTGATTCTCCCAGGTCCTAAAATAAACCCTGGAGTAACAGAACCTGTGAGCTGGGGGCACAGCAGCACTTCAGAAGGAGCTATTGCTGGAAAGAAGCTGGACCACTGACTAAGCTCTCTGGATTTTTTGTTCCTATTCCCATCAAAGCTAAGTAGTTACTGTGAAGTTGTCTCTTCCTCTTGGCTGTTCAGTGGCCTGTGTGAAAGTTTCTAATGTTTTACCATTAAATCTGTTTCTGTTCCATAAGGTCTGTATTTCTAATTCACCAGCAGCCTGAATAGTTCTGAAGATTAAATGGCCGATGAATTCCCAGACCCCTGTTCACCTATAGAAGAGATCATCCTAAATAAGACTTTGGGGTCACATGTGGGATAAATGTCTATGGCTGTTGAGGATCTCTTACAAGAATAGAGCAGTGCCACGTCGAGCGTTATTAGTGGTTTGTAATGCAGGAGGGAAAAAAGGCCAAAAGCTGGAAGCTTTGAATCAAATACAGGTAATGTCTTTCATTAAAATAATTCCCAGCACACATACCGAGTGCCTGGGCGATGAGGGGAATGTGTGACTGGGATGGTTCTGACCAGTCCTTCAGCTTTCTTTTTGGTCTCTTGCTTCCTCAAGGACTGTGTGACAGAGCTGACAGCAAAAAAGGCTGCGGGGCACTGAGACCAGCAGAAACCGACAGTGCAGTAGGAACGATTTCTGGAGGTTTAGGAAATCCTGAGTTGTAGTCAGTCCCTACAAAAAAAGGGTCCTTGGTGAGTAAGCTGCTCTTCCTCATTGTTCCCCATCAGTAGCCGTGTTCCAAAGCTTAGCTGTTAACACAGAGCTTTTCAGAAGCTTTGTTACCAGTGCAGAATAGTTGGTTTAGGTGTAAGAGTTACGGGAGTGCTCAAGGGTTGCACGGTTGCTGCCTTGGTGGGATATTTGCTGAAAGCAGCACATTTTTAAATCAACTGACGGCAGTATGGTACATCTACCCTCAGCATCAGCCAGTTCAACGCTGGGTTGACCTGGGTGTGTTCGTTACTCGGCCCTGCAGTCAGAGGTGTGTGGTGAGTGCAGGGCAAACCCTTCCCTGGTCACAGCATCAACAGGAGATGTATTTTCAAATTTCTTTTAGTTGAAATGTTTTCATTTGCTTTATTTCACCTTCCGCTGCAGCGTACTGTGAAGGGTCCTGTCAGGCCTGGATGAATTATTTCAATGCACCTTGGCAGTATGAATGGCCTTGCACAAAACTAACTTTTAAAGGTGTTAATGTGCCAAATTTTGGTAGTGATGAGCCAGGCATAGTGCTGATGAGTGTGCAGCCTCAGGTGTAGCATGATCAGGTGGCTACAGTGCTTGCATCCTGCAGATGTACCCTGTGCATCTGTGACTTCGTGCACAGGTCACTGGATTGCTGTGGTTCATCCAGGTCTGCCGTGGAATTGCTCTGTAAATACAGCAAGTCCATACCGATACTTTTCTCTACAGTTTCCCTTAAACCTCCTCGTTCCTGATGTTTTTCAGTTTTACAAATACAGAAGTGCTGTAGAATAGGAGCACTGTTAATACTTAGCAAGGAAAGAGGAGCTTGGATCTGTGCCCTGTCAGACTGTAGTAGGTTCCCAGCTGTGGAGCCCCCAACATCAGAAGGGCACGGAGCTGTTGGAGCAAGTCCAGAGGAGGCCCCGGAGATGCTCCGAGGGCTGGAGCCCCTCTGCCATGGGGACAGGCTGGGAGAGTTGGGGGGTTCAGCCTGGAGAAGGGAAGGCTCCAGGGAGACCTTACAGCCCCTTCCAGTGCCCGAAGGGGCTACAAGGAAGCTGGGGGGACTTTTTACAAGGGCCTGTAGTGACAGGACAAGGGGTAACGGGTTTAAATTGAAAGTGGGGGGGGTTAGATTGGACATCAGGAAGAAATTCTTCCTGGAGAGGGTGGTGAGGCAGTGGGACGGGTTGCCCAGAGAAGCTGTGGATGCCCCATCCCTGGAAGTGTCCAAGGCCAGGCTGGATGAGGCTTGGAGCAACCTGGTCTAGTGGAAGGTGTCCCTGCCCATGGCAGGGGGGTTGGAACTAGATGGTCTTTACGTTCCCTTCCAACCCAAACCGTTGTGTGATTCTATGCCAAGACAGAAATCACCTACTGTCTCCTGAGCGCTGCTTTCCTTTCCTTCGCAGCTGATTCGCCCTAAGCAGAATTCCTTCAGATGTTACAAACAACCTGACGAGTTTCCTTTGGTGCCTGAAGCACTTCAGTTTTGGGGATTGTTTATTTTGAAAAAGAGAATGTTTTGTTTTAAGCTTTATAACCTGGCCTGCCTACAAGCTGCCTCACGTAGCAGCACAAAGTAGTTGATGCACAGAGCTTTTCGCTGTCCTGACCTTTGCCAGGTTAACTGCCGATGAATGCCAGTCTGTGACCAGAGGCCTGTGAAACTC